AATTGCGAAGCCATCCCGCAGAACTTTAGCGTACGCACACGGGTGGCAATCTAACCAATGTCCATGTCAAAACAACAGTTCTGATGAAAGGCCAAAACCACGAGTTCAAAGACAGAGCAAGCCAATCCTTTACCCAACTTCCAATGCCAAGAATTTCAGAATTGCAAACTGCAAACATTTCCGAAGGTTTGCATCACTGAGCGATCGCTTGGATTTCAGAGGCAAATCCGTCCAACGGCAGTTGAGACACCGATGTATAAGAAGACACTGCACTATCCCATGGCCACATGGGACACAACTGACGAGGGCCGTGAGGAAGTTCTTCCTCCAACGGTTCCGGAGTGACTTAAACATTTTCAGCAATACAAGCCACTTCTGTTGCAAGTATATCGCTTCCTTTTTTGTTTATAGGTCCCTGAAGTCGCTTTGCTTCGGCCTGGAAAAAATATCTTTGCTGTTTGATCAGCAACTCTGTTGAGGACAATGTCCTGTTTGGTTGTGGCATGTCCCTGCGCAATCTCATCAGTGATCTGTGCAGACGGAATTGATTCCAGCAATTGGGAGGGGCGCCACAACAATCGAAGAGGAACTGGAGACACAGCTTTTCTTCTCTGGATCAAAAGCAACAGAACACTCCACCAATCAGCGTGCGTCCATGCAGGGTCCACTTTCATGATATCAATGAGTCTCTCAGATTGTTGCACAACTGCTAAAGAGTCTGTGTGAATGGCCAATGCACATGATGCAGCAGCAAAGCTGCAATGACAGCCCAAAGCTCCGCTGTGTAGCTAGATAAGCGCCAGTGGAAAAGACGGCCACCGGCCACTTTGAAAAACAGTTTCATCTCCACGGATACACCCAAAAATGCCAATCATCAACCATGGATGCGTACTCAACTGTACGGAACCGTCTGTCCAAAGGTGCATCAGACCACTGTTTCCATTGCACCATTCACACACACAGGTAGTTCAGAAGCATGCATTTTTGCCCTTGCTTGTATCCAATGGAAGCTCAACGATGCCTAACATAGCAAAGTTAGGTCCAAAGGAAAAAGGGAGTGTACGGTTTCTTGAGCTCCTGTGCTCACAAAAGCGGCACGTTGCAGTGTCTTGAAGCTCAGCGGCTGCTAACCGATCATTGGTCATTGTGCACCCAGTTATTGCAGATTCCCAATGAAAGGAAAATGGGAACCCCGGGTTGGGTTCCTGTCGATTTCCCCCCATAACAGTACGATCCATTCTTAACAGCGCACCAAGTTTATGAGTCCATCTACTACAAGACACGAGAAACAAGCCGCAGACAAGCGCCCCTCAGTGACTTCGAGGCCCCTTTTTCTCTTCAAAACGCACCTTCGTCCAAAAGAAAAAGGGCACTCCACCCCCCCCACCCGTGACTGAGGGCTTTTCATATCGACCCCGACTTATGCCTCCCAGCGCTTCCCACGCGCTCTCGCGTTCACCCTCCCTTCTCAGGTTGATCTTGCTCAACCATTTCAGACCATGCCCGACGACCATCTTCGGACGTCTTGAGAAAACGAATTGCTTCAACGATTGTCCCAAAGGCACAGCAAAGGAAAGGTAGCACATGGAGGTTCACAAAGTGCTGCACCTGCCACGACATCTGCACATGGAGGTTCACAAAGTGCTGCACCTGCCACGAAATCTGCACATGGAGGTTCACAAAGTGCTGCACCTGCCACGAAATCTGCACATGGAGGAAGCCTATACGCCTTGTTTACCATACCCAGCAGCAGGGCCTTACAATGCCAATGAGGACGATCCTGCCACAATTCATTTGCGATCGCAGTTTGTACATGCTCAAGCTTCTTCTTTGGTAAAAAGCTGAGCTGTGGTGCAAATGCTATCTGCGGAATAGTTTTTTTTAGCCAGTGGGCCCCGAGAATGTTCACCACCTCAACAACTTTCATATCAGGGAATGTGCTCGTAGTTCCTGTCTAAGCTTGGCATTGAAGGGGCCTTATTAAAGAGGCCTTTTTCACTGTCTGTCTCTGTCTCTGTTTCTGTTGCTGTTGCTGTCTCTGTCTCTGTCTCTGTCTCTCTCTCTCTCTCTTTTTTTTTCTCTTTCTCTCTGTTTCTCTCTCTCTCTCTCTTTTTCTCTCTTTCTCTCTGTCTCTCTCTCTCTCTCTTAGTAGCTTCTAGCTTCTAGCTATTAGTAATGCCCTTGTTACTAATAGTGTCTTGTTACTAACTTTCCTTCTTTCTGCTCCTTTGGGCAGGAAAGATTGGCATGGGTGAACGACACCATGAAGCTCTATCGTTGCCACGGCCACGTGGCCCATGCCGAATCCTCCGCGCAGGTGAGACTTGAACAGGTCATAAAAGGACTTGTGATTGTTGTCAGGTCATAAAAGGTGGTTTCTGAAGGGCTACTTTGAATCTTGCGAAGCAGGGCTCAAGCCCTCCCTCTTTATTGATGAATCAATATCACAGTATCCACCACTCTTTATCAATGATAGGTCCCGGTCCCCCCACCAAGGAGGCTTTCAGGTTGGACTTGTCACTCTGCCTCTCAGCCATTCAGATTCTTTTCAGTCGACTCGAACTGGGTAAATCTGGAGATTTGGCAGATCCTTGCTGCTGGTGAGGTGACAGGTTCCTGGTAGTGGAATTGTACCGGCTTACAGAAAGTGAAGTGGAACGCGTGCACCGCTGGTGACTGTATGTATTGAGCAGTGGCAGAAATTTTGCACCACATTGGCAAGCAACTGGAACCTTGTTAGGGGTATAACTTTTTCACAACTCGCAAGAACTCTCCTAGAAAGAGCATGAAAATTCCTGATTGATTCCAGTGCTTCTTACCTTGATAGCTACCTACAACATTTGAATTATGCTGCAACAAGGACAAAATATGAAACGATCAGAAGTATACTTCCATTGCCAGCCGAGGCATTATGAACTGCACCAACTGCTGCCCCAAAGGATTGGACCCGGCCAAGGCAGCAGTTGTTTCTACCTAGTGGAAGTCACTTTGTGGACACAAGAGTCAAGTCGCCAGGCCATTGTCCACCTCAAGGCCATGTGTTTTCGAGGGATGCTTTTTCTTTTCAATCCACGTCATGTCCTCCCTGAAGGAGCAGGTGGCGGAAACCTACACGGATGCTTGGAAGTTGATGACTAAGCCCGCACAGCAACACCTGCAGTCGGAAGTTTGATCCAGTGGAAATGAGGTCCATGATGACCGAGGAGATTGTCAAGAACAAGGCCGTCATGTTATCCCTCACGCACTGCATGTGCTCACTCACATTGGGCAGAGATTGGTTGACTGGGATTGACAAGTCACTGGTATTTTTCAAAGGAAACATTGTGTGGACCTGAGCTGCTTGCGCACCATGACTAGTATTGAATCTATGTAAAAAAGAATCTACGGTTTGCTCTTACTTCTTGCAGAATGGGACCAGCTGTTTGGCTTGCTATGGCTTCTAGTGTCGCTTAGGGTGAGGGAGCAACATGTGCACTAAATCTGCAGTCAAGGAACGAAAGCAGTCACCTCACACCAACCCAAGTTTTCATATAGTTTGAGCAACGGCTTTCTTTTTTCTGATCCAAAGGGATGTTGTGGAGTGGACACATTTTGCAGGTGAAGAAGACCAAACCAGAATTTGCCTTCTTGCTTGCGAAGTAACAAATTTGGTTTGTCGCCCGAACGAAAGACACCCTACTTCACAGTAAAGGTGAAGGAATCAAGAGTTTGAACCAAGTACTGTACAGTAAAGCGCTGCAAAATAGAACTTTTTCACCAGGCCGAGTTCAGTCAAATGTCGACGAGCATGGGACGTTTAAAGGCGTCCTTCTAGTTGGGGATATTGCCAAATTCAACTTGTGACGTAGCATGTTCGATTGGACGATGCCTTTTTCAAGGGAGCTATATTATATACTTGTCAGTGTAAATACGTTCGCATAATATGCAGAAACACCATTTATGTTTCAAGAACAGACGATTTTCTTGCCAGATGATTTGTCATGCTACTCTATTGTAGGGACCCACACGGAATGCCCATTCAATTTCGCCCACAATCTGTAGTGCCCTGGAGCCGTTGTGGGCTACTGAAATCTTACAAAGGTGAGTTCTTAAGCGCAGGAAACCAGTTGGTATGCGCTGAAACCTGACATTCTTCAGAAACGGGTTCCACATTCTTTGGAGGATCCGCTTCTGATTCCTGCCGTGGCCAGGGCCGTGAATCTGGCATGATGTACATGTGAGAGGCTAGTTTCTTGGATGCAGAAAGGCAGTCTGTGGAGTGAAGAGATGACGAAGGCAATCATGATCAGTCATGATATCATGAACTTTAAAAAAAAACAAGCAGATGGATCAATAAAGCTGTACCGTCAAAGAATCACACGCTTAGCTCCATAGCTCCCATGGCTCGATGGTTCCATGAACCAGTTGAGAGCTTTTTGAAGTGTGCTGCGGGCCAAATGCCGCTTGTCGCGAGGGGCACTCAGTGCCTTCCTGGCCAATCGGAGCATGGAACCTGTTTCAGACCACGGAATATGGAGAAAAGGTTGATAGATTCCGTTGCAGCATGGCGTGATTGAAACGTGATACCTCCGTATCTTAGGAGGTGCAATCAGTCCTTGGACACAGAGAGATAGAGAGAGAGAGAGGGAGAGGGAGAGGGAGAGGGAGAGGGAGAGGG